TATATATATGTATATACAGGGTGAGTAATTTAACTTGAAACTTTGAAATATCTTAGTTAGTATGCATCATAATTTTTCTATAAAAATATCACTTTTTTGGGAATAATTATCTTATTAAATTAAATTTTATTTTTTAAGTACCCACGATTTTTTAACTAATATTTAAGATTCCTTTAGTTTAAGTTTTATACATTATTTCATTCGGAGATAATTATCAATTACGCACCATGTTCACTTTTTACCTGCCAGCATTAAATCCTTTAATTTAAAAGATTATTGTACTATTTTTAATAAAAATACCCCATTTAAGGTAAAAAAAACACTATTTTGTCAATTAATTAATTTAATCCTAATTAAGGTATAAAAAAACTATTTATACATAGTTTAGCATTATTTAATCAATTTACTTCGAAGATTAATTTGCAAACAAAAAGACCTCCTTACGTTAAGCAGTTATTCATAATAGATTTTTTAACAGTGGAAGAAAAAATAGAAATGCTGTTGATTTATGGAGAAGCAGGCAGGAATCTTGATGATGCTGTTAATAATGAAATTAATGTATTAGCAGCAACGGCCGCTAATCCTCATGCAAGCACACGGGAATTATCTAGAGATTTGGGGATATCCCAGAGCAGTGTTAGCAGAATGTTAAAACGAAAAAAATAGATAAATTAAAAAAATAAAATCAAGTATTTTATTCAAAAACTATTGGAGAAAAATCGAACACAATATTTTTTCATTACAGCGCCATCTATTACAAATATGAAAAAATGTTTTATACAAAATCTACCTATTTTTAGCCTAATCTGTAATAAAAAATAGGGTGTTTCGTTGGAAATTTTAAAGTTACCCCCTGTTCCCCCTATAAGGAGGAGAGTATGGGGACCAATGTTAGTAGATACTGATTGATTTCCCCCCTCGAATCATTTAATTTTTATTTTAAACATTTTTTCGTAAAATGTAAACTATCAGATATTTTAAAGTTTCAAGTGTGATACACAATATAAAATACAATTCATTGTATTATTTTAACAATTTGGTAGGGAATAAATTGACCACCAAGATCGTGTGATTTGACTCTATAACTTAATAAATCCGCCGCTTTTATACCCGAACGATTTAAAATAAAAATACACTTATTATTTTTTTTCTTAATAAATCTAGACCCTGTATAAATTTTAATCCTGTTCTCTGGGTGTCCAACTGTTGGACTCCAACATCTGGGTCAATCGTAATGTCACTTGTTGAGCCGGTGTGCGTTGTTGCGCCAATCATTCGTCGCTATTTAAAAATAATTGAAATTGTGGAACGCGTCATTTCCAACCGCCAGAGGTGTCATTACCTACTTGACTATCATGTTTATTTAGCGGGAGCTAATCGGAAATGTGCCCTTCGTGTTAAATTACCCTCATCATTTCGAAACCTAAGGTCACATTTATTTTTGAGTTCAGAGAATTTTGGATATTGACAATAATACAATTTGTCAAATATGTAAACTAAGGTTTGAAAGTCCCACTTTTTGTAGACCCCAAAGAAAATAATCAAATGGTGTTAAATCAGGCGATCTTGCCGGCCATTCTTAAGCACCTCTTCTACCAATCGATTTCTCGTGAAACTTTTGATTCGACCATTCTCTGACTGGTAAAGAATATTGAGGAGGAGCTCCAACTTTTTGAAAGTACAAAAGTCCTTCATGAAATTAAAATAAGAATATATATTTCAACTAAAAATATTTACCTTCTTTAGATGAGAATTTTGTAGTTTTGGAAATATTCTAACATTAAGAAACATTTCTTGTTTTAAAAAGTTGCATGTTTCAATCCAAATATTAAACATTCTTGAAGGAAATCTTAGTTGGTTTCTTGGTACAATTGTTAATATTTTTTATATCAAGAATAAGATATTCTTATTTTTTTTATTTGTTTAATTTTTTTTATAATAAAATTAGATTTTCGTTTTAATAAACAGTATTTTCTTTTGCCAAGAATACATATTTTTGAAATCGTGTAGGAGTGGAGATGCCGACACGTTCCTCTGAAATTGTATGCCTAATCATGCAGTGTTTCTTTCTCTTTGTGAGGGAGAGGGCTTATTTCATTAAAAAATTATAAGAAGAGTGGTCAGCATCGAAGGAAATATTAAAAAAAAAATTGAAGGTAAGTAAATTTAGCGTCGCATTTACGTGTAGGTAGGTAGGTTTATTGTTTAAATTTTTACTAATATAGGTACATTAACTATGCCTTAAAATTATTTTATTCATAAAGCAGTGATAACCAAAATTTCTTATTTGTTTAACACTCTGATTTGTATGGCTCTATAATTTTAAGTTAATAAACTTAATTTATTTTATGACATTTAAAAAGATTTTGTTTTAGAAAAAATTTTGTTACAACATTAATTTTGATTCATATAGGGTGGAGTTCATTGGCAATAGCCCTAAATTATTTTATAAAATTGGTAATTGCTTTTCTACCATGCCTAAAATATTACAAATTATTTAAAATGAAAAATATGTCGATAATAATGATTAAGTTTCCTATGTTAATTTATAATAATGTTTACATTTTAGATTTAGATTTTTCTTGTATAAAAACAAAATAAATGTGTTTGTTCAACGTTTGTTTTTTTATTTTCTAACCTAAATTTTTTTGATTACTGCACCACCTATAGAAACGATACAACGTATACTTTGGCCCTTCAGTAAAGTTTGCTCAATTTTGAATAATCCGTAAGTATTTAAATATAAAGTTTTGTTTAAGATTAGACAACAATCCTTAAAAAATTACAGGATATTTATAATTACTCCAGTCCCCTTCAAGTGTTTAGACGTATTTTTATTTTAAATTTTATTTCTTTTGCAGTAATATTCCTAAATATAAAGATGTTTTTATTATTAAAATAAATAACTTTTAGTTAATAGACGTATCATTATTTAAAATTTTATTGATTTTAAATACAAAATGATAGATTTTTTGAAACATTAAAATTAAGATAGATACATTTTATTTTTAACGATACTTAATTTAAAAAAATATTGGGTTATAGGAAACATCTTGATTTAAGAAAATTATTGCCTTATTTCAATATCACATGTTTTTGTTTTAAGAAAATTTATTCTTGAATTAAGTATCTTTTTTATTTAAGAATGCCACTAATTTATTTTTAAAAGAACATATTTTTGCTTTAAAACAACCAATTTTGGTTAAAGAAAATTTATTTTCTTGAATTAAGTAAACATTGCTGCCTTATTTAAAAAATTATATATTTTTGCTTTTAAACAATCAAAGTTTTATTTAAAGAAATTTAATTTTCTTACATTTAGAAAAGATTCTTAAAGTAAATCAACGTGAATTACTTATGAAAATACTTTACTATTTTAAAGAATATATTTGCAAGAATATTTTTTTCAGTGTAATAATAATAACAAAATCAGTAGATAATAATCATTAAATTAAGTAATAAGGTAGTTGAGTATACAAGCTATTTGTAACAACACACTTAACCACCTTATGGTACGTTTAAGTTATTGGTGCTTTTAAATTTCAAGGAAATTTTTTACAAGTAGAACTGATTTATGTAAGCAATTGATAAAAATTGTTCAATACACCCAGCTCAACGCACTTGTGTCCTACTTTTACCGGATATACCTCTACAAGTTATTTTTTCCTATTGACAAGTAGCTTAATTTTAAATTTTAGTTTGTTAAATATGAAGAAATGACGTTTTGAGCCAGAAAAGATGATTTTTCCCTTGGTTTTAAAATGGCCGAAAAAAGTAATGGGGTAGTTCAATTTTTTCTGACCTATACTTTTTATGGTTTTATTCAAGGCGTTTTGTAATATAAAACATTTCTGTGAAATCAGAATTTCAATTGAGTTTACCGTTTTCGAGATATTTACAAAAAAAATTAAAAAATTTTTATGACGTCACAAACCTCGCCCTGTGACCAACATTCTAAGATTTCTATTGGTTGAAAATTACCCTGTTGTCAAGTTGTCTTGTTAATGATTTCATTCGGATATGTCAGAAAATACCCGAAGAGGTTATGTACAAATACTGTCACTGTCAGTTGAGTGAAAGATGGTCACCAAATTCATTAAGTACCTATCTTCCTTATTACGAGGTATCATATTACTGTTTGATATTTTAGAGTCCAAGATATATCTAAAAGAATATAAAGAACTAGGCATTATACTAATGAAATGCATTTACGACAAAATATGATTATAATTATAGGTACTTACTTTATTTGTTTAAAAGCTCCAATGTTCAATGTAACCAACCATTCCACAAGATTCCTCTGCTTTGGAGTCCGTTATTAATAAATCACTTATCTAATATCAAATACAAATAACATAACAATAACATTGATTTTCAATACCTAATCTAAATTTAAAAAAAACATAACTCGAAAAAAAGAAACGTCAAAAAATCAATTCTTCTTCTTCTCAACTAAAATTATAGATCAAGTGGTTTTAAAACTAAAATATTATAACGTGGCGCCATCTATCGTAAGAATCTTAAACTAAACACACTGGCAACCATAGAAAAAGCTGGCAACAATGTCAATAGCCTAGTGACGCAGTGCCGGTTTAACAGGGGTTTTTTGGGGACTATAGCACCGGGCGGTAAATATTTTTGGGGCGGTACCGCGTACCGCCCTATAAGTTTTTTTATAAATACACCATAAAAAATAATTAATTATTATCAATTACTCAAAAATAAATATAGTGCGACCCTGCATTCTACGACGATATATATTATTATAAAACAATGTTTTGTCTATCGGATAGACTCTATCCCTACCAGTCGCGCGCGTCGGCGGATCACAAAGGCAAAGAAAGCGCGCGAGCCGTGCTCCAGACTCTAGTGGCGTAAATGCACCAAATAAACAAAAATAGCAAACAGTAAAGTTTTTTGTTGTATTGAGTGTTAATTCTAGTACATTTGTGTAAATCTAAATACATTAAAACACGGAAAGCGTAACTGTATGTTTGAAAATGGACGAGGAAGGGCGGAAATTATCTGGATTTTACTGGCGTAAAAGAAAACTAGAAAAACAAGAAAGGCACAATAAAATTTTAAAATGTATCCCCAAAATGACAACATTCTTCACACGGGATGAAAATCGAGCAGACAACAGTAAAAATGAACCCAAACCTGGACCTAGTAGTGATGAAAACGTTTATTTACGGCAAGGTGAATTTACGAATGCTTCACCATTACCTGAATCATCAGAGTCATCTTTTTTAAACAATGTATTAGAAAAAGAAAATAACAATAATGCAGAAGAACTAAATATTGAAATTGCTTACGTAGAAGTGCAGGAGGATAACAGTAATTTAACAAGCGGTAAGGACCTTGTATTATATAAATGTACCTATTAATAATTCAAATATAGTCGATATTTTTTATTCCTTTCTTTGCAGATTCAAAAACACAGGATTTACCTAATTTTAAAGATCCTGCACTTTGGAAGCATAATTATAATTATATAGAAATGATTTTAGAAAATTGGACCGAACAAAATCTTACAGAAATGAACTATTCAATGTCAAAAAGAAAATTCGGTGAGCAAAATAGGTATTGCTGTAAGAAAATCTTTTATAAAAAAATGGTTAATGGAGAAACGGTTCGCAGAGATTGGGCAATTTATTCAGAGAGCACTGGAAATATATATTGTATGTATTGTTGCTTATTTGGCGAAAACCAGAAACAATTTGAAACAGGATTTTCGTTATGGAATAAAAGTAAAGAAAGGTTTGACGAACATGAGAAGTCAAATAATCATTTAAATAACCTACAAATTTATACAAGTCGCCTATTAAAGCTAGGAAGAATTGACATGGAACTTCAAAAACAAATTAGCACTGAGAAGGGATATTGGATAAAAGTATTACAAAGGATCCTAAGCGCAATAAAGTTTCTGGCTACAAGAGAGTTAGCATTTAGAGGTACTCATGAACGAATTGGCGAAAAACATAATGGAAATTATTTGGGTTTGTTGGAGCTAATATCTGAATATGATCCATTTTTAAAAGATCATATAAATAAAACTGCAAATGTAGGTAAGGGCAAACCTTCATATTTATCAAAGGATATATGTAACGAATTACTGAATATTTTGTCAAATCGGATTATTGATGAAATTGTAACGCAACTTAAGGCAAATAAATACTATTCGATTAGCGTAGACTCAACCCCTGACGTAACACACAACGATCAATTGACTCTAATTTTGAGATATTGTAATAAGAAAGGATTTCCTGTGGAAAGATTTGTGGGCTTTTATAAAAACTCTGGGCATGGTGCACAAGAACTTGAAGAAACTGTTATCAATATGTTAAAATCGCTAAATCTAGATATTAAAAATTGCAGAGGCCAATCTTACGATAATGCCAGTAATATGAGTGGTAAGTATTCTGGGTTGCAAGCACGTATTAAACAACATAATGATTTAGCTGTGTTTGTACCATGCGCTGCTCACTCATTAAATTTAGTTGTCCAAAATGCAGCAGATTGCTGTTTAGAGGCAACCTCCTTTTTTATGCTGGTACAAGCTATTTATACTTTTTTTTCTGCATCTACGCATAGGTGGGACTTATTGTCCCATGCATTAAAAGATTCTGCTGAGTCAAATCAAGTACTGTTACCTAAAAGAGTTAATACAACACGTTGGTCTTCTCGTTTTGATGCCATAAAAGCTCTAAAAAATAGTTACGTTTCAATAAAAACATGTTTGACTGAAATGGCAACGGATACAAATGAAAAAAATGTTGTTAGAGTTGAAGCAGCTTCTCTATCAGAGAAACTTGATTTATTGGAAAACGGAATAATTTTAACTTTTTGGCTAGACATTTTGCAAAGGGTTAATGAAGTTAATAAAGCAGTCCAAAAACAAAATATGGATTTAAGCACAACTGCTCATCTTTTGTCATCTTTAGTACAATACTTTGATTTTTTACGTGATCGTTTTGATCATTACGAGGCTTTAGGAAAATCTTTAACGGGAAACGAAAATTATGCTCAGAAGCGGATAATCATAAGAAAATTGCAATTTAAAGAAAATAATTCAGAGGCAAGTTTAAGCCAAAAAGAAAGAATGCGAACAAAATGTTTTATTTTAATAATTGACAATCTTAAATCCAAAATTATTCGTCGATCTGATAGCTACAAATCTTGCTCAAAAAATTTTGAATTTTTGTTTAATCTAAAAGAACAAGATGATACAAATATTCTAGCATCTGCAACTCAATTACAACAAATCTACTTGGAGGATTTGGATGAATATTTTCCTCAAGAATGTGTACATCTTAAGAAACTGATAACTTCCCTTTCGGAATTAAAAATAGAAGCTCCATTGGAATTGGTACAAGTTTTATATGAAAATAAATTAATATCTTCATTTCCGAACATTAATATTTGTTTGCGTATTTTTTTTTCCATAATGGTTTCAAATGCAAGTGGTGAACGATCTTTCTCTACTCTAAAAAGGGTAAAGACCTACCTAAGAAATTCAATTGCCCAAGAAAGATTAAACTCCTTAGCAATTCTGTCCATTAATCAAGACCTGTTAGATGAAATTAATGTAAATAGTGTTATAGAACAATTTGCCACTATAAAGGCTAGAAAACAACATTTTAATTATTAGTATTTGTACCTATTTCTTAATATTTATTTAAATTTTAAACCAAAGAATAATGTTTTATTTATTTATAATTTTTGAATAGTTTTTATTTGTTTAATATATTTTATATTTTATTAGTATTTGTATTTCTTAATATTTATTTAAATTTTAAACCAAAGAATAATGTTTTATTTATTTATAATTTTTGAATAGTTTTTATTTGTTTAATATATTTTATATTTTATTAGTATTTGTATTTCTAATATTTATTTAAATTTTAAACCAAAGAATAATGTTTTATTTATTTATAATTTTTGAATAGTTTTTATTTGTTTAATATATTTTATATTTTATTAGTATTTGTATTTCTTAATATTTATTTAAATTTTAAACCAAAGAATAATGTTTTATTTATTTATAATTTTTGAATAGTTTTAATTTGTTTAATATATTTTATATTTTATTAGTATTTGTATTTCTTAATATTTATTTAAATTTTAAACCAAAGAATAATGTTTTATTTATTTATAATTTTTGAATAGTTTTTATTTGTTTAATATATTTTATATTTTATTAGTATTTGTATTTCTTAATATTTATTTAAATTTTAAACCAAAGAATAATGTTTTATTTATTTATAATTTTTGAATAGTTTTTATTTGTTTAATATATTTTATATTTTATTAGTATTTGTATTTCTTAATATTTATTTAAATTTTAAACCAAAGAATAATGTTTTATTTATTTATAATTTTTGAATAGTTTTTATTTGTTTTATATATTTTATATTTTATTAGTATTTGTATTTCTTAATATTTATTTAAATTTTAAACCAAAGAATAATGTTTTATTTATTTATAATTTTTGAATAGTTTTTATTTGTTTAATATATTTTATAAAACGAAAGAATAAACTTATTATTTTTTAATTAGTATTTCTTAATACCTACCTATTGTTTATATAAAAAAATAATGTAAAAGTTATTGCCTTTGATTAATTTTTATAATATTGTTTAATTAAATGAAAGAATAATATTTTTTATGTTTTGTTTAAAAAGGCTCATTTTATATTTTATAGGTACATACTAGGTTTACTGTTTAGGTTAGTATTTTCCTCTTGACGTGAAAAAAAAAAGATATAAAAAAAAAATAAATAAATAACATTTTAAAGTTTGGGGCGTTGTGTTTGTGCCAGAACCGGGCGGCGAACTACCTTAAACCGGCACTGTAGTGACGTAATTAGGAGATTTTTTTTGTAAATATCTCGAAAACGGTAAATTCAATTGAAATTCCGATTTCACAGAAATGTTTAAAATTACAAATAAAACCATAAAAAGGATAGGTCAGAAAAAATTTAACTACCCCATTATTGATTTTCCGGTTGTCTCAGGTTCTTCATTGCTAAAAGAGTGCTAAACTGTTTTTTGTTATACTAGTATACTGGTAACAGAATTATCTAAAACTGTTATACCTACAATATCCTGGAAATGTATACAGTTTAGCACAACAAATTTTATAAATAAAATTTGTTTTAAAGTTAAGTTTAATTTAGTATTTAGTCTGGACAGTTAATAAATAAAACCAATATAATTCCTTTTTCCTAAAAAATTACTTAATTTTACCACACAAAATGGAGTGATATCCACATTCGAATTGCTGTTTTCATATGGGCGAATTTTCGTTAAATGTACATTTTGTATATATATTTTGTCCAGGCAGGTCAATTTGTTCGATTTTTTTTTCCTTTGTGATAGAACAAAATTTAGTTTATAAATAACAAAAATAAACTTTAAAGAAATAAAACTTATAGGGTTAATCTGAAATAGGGAAGGAACACTAGGAAGAAATGAAACATTGTCCTCCTAACGCATCTTCCTGAACGTTTTATGACACATTGCTTTTGACTTTTTCAAACGTTATTTTTCAGAAATACTGCTAAATGTAAATATCTTTCGGCATTTGTTTGGAATTTCTACTATGCTATAACACAAAATGAAAATAAAAAAGTTAACTTCTAAAACAAGAGTTGTATGTAGCGTTTTGTAAAAGACACCAAAAGTGTACGCAAAAAAATATTACCTTTAAAATATTTACAAAAAAATTCACACACGTGCTAAGTTGTTTTTGCCCAACTATCAAACATGTATGCCCTCTAGAAATAACACGATAGTATTTCTATCTCGTGTCTCTATTTCGAAGCAGTCGACATAGAAGACGACGTTAGGAAAAAGACAAGATTTTTGTATGTCAACTTTAATATTTTTTTCTGTTTAAACTACTTTGTAGAAAACTATTTTATTTTTATATACGAATAAAAGAACTTTCCATTGTTCAAAAATAATTTATTTTTCAGAAGAAAGCTGCAAAGAAGAATAATATAATAATTTAAATTAAAAAATCGCCTCTGGGGACAGTTAGGTTACAGGATATTTCACCTAGTTTTTCTGCCATATATAGAAACACAAAGTAATTTAAAAAAATACGATGGGTCTTAACAGGAAGGGGGTATTTAAATATAATAAATACAAAACTTATCAACAAAGGTCAAAAATAAAAATAAAATTAGCTGGGGACAGCAAATGTACATTTAACGAAAATTTGCCCATATACCACACACAATGCGTGTGCACAATATTTTATAGTTTCATTTAATAATTTATCCTTGGCAACCATGATCACTAGACTGTGTAATGCTATAGCCCTCCAGTCTTAGAGAGTCGTTTAATAATGACCCAAATGGTGCATGCAGAAATCATAAACGATTTTTACTACAGACACGATCCTACTTTATTGACCAATAATTTATTTAAAGGAAATACCAGTGTAGCGATTATTGTATAAGTATCGACTATTATGGTTATGCAGGCTTGCATATTTTTTATGTTGCAATTAAAATATCCTTAATTTATGTCAGTTTGTTAGATAGTTTTATGTTTAATTTTTCCCTTTGCTTTATTCAAACCACCTCTTGAAAGTTGTATAAGTTCTTTATAGCGATGTGTTACTCCTATATAGGGACAACCGTTAAAAATCAAAAACCGATTTAAAGGTTTAAAAATAGCGTAAAACTTGTTCAATTATAATAAGACATAAAAACTATCAAAGAAAAACAATTTAAATACCTATAGACGTATACGTCTATCTTGATTGCAAAACATTTTTTGGGTTAGTACCCACATGTAATTAGCGGGGTCAATAACACAACATTTATAAATCTTTTAGTACAGCATTGAACTAATACTTTTACTTTTCAAGCGGTGTTAACATCACTCCAATCACAAAAATCATTGTTTTAAAAACAGTACTAAAACTGTTAAAATTTAAATTCTTAATTATAAAACTATACTATTACTATACAACGCTTTCAATTAAAAACTAACCCCCTTGGTAACTTTTGAGTTATAGTAAATATAATAATATTATATTGAGCAAAAACAGGTCCATTTAGATATCGAGGGAAAAATACAAATTCAGTGTTAAACAAATTTTACAAGGAAAAAAAGCTATTCTATATTCAAGATTAATCATCTCAGTTCAAGTATATGTTTATCTCACCATTCTGCAAGTATACTTGCATATATAAAGTCTATTCAAATCCAAGCTGGACTAAATGTAAACAAAATCCTCCGAATCGACCAATAAGAGCTCACAATCCGAGTCACACCATCAGAATCGACCAATAGAAACGAGTTATCACGCGTCTGGGCGTTTTTGTTTAGTCCAGCTTGGATTTGAATAGACTTTAGATACTTAGGAATAAGTATTTTCTGATACAAGTGTTATAATTTTTGGCGATACAATATTTACTTTTGGATTAAATATAAGGTATCTTTATGTAAGTTTAGCAATAATTGTTTCAAATATTGTGTATTCTTTTTTTAACTGTTATAAAAAAACGTGTAAATTTTATATAATTGTTTTATGGAATTCTTTGTTTTATTTATATCACACCTTTTTTGTCTCTAAAGTGATCGGATTTTAATTTTTTTTAACTTCATTAAATCATAAATTGCATTCCCTTTAAAATGACGTGTCGCAAGGTATGGGGTGCCATTTAATCTATTGTTCAGAAAAGAGGAAATCCTTCTTAAAAGATTGTCCATGTAAATGTCAAACAGTTATCGGTGTCAAGTTGAATTTCGCATGTTTACTTCCTTCCCATTATGTAACGGACGTATAACCGGTGTGTAGATGTAGATGCCTTTTGACAAATACTTGAAATTCGAATTAAGCTTTGATGCGATGATGACAAGACAAACCTAAACTATTCTTAAAATATTTGAAAAAATAAAAACCGTTTCAAAAGCTACCAGTACACAAATGCGTACTGGTACTTAAAAGAAAACTGAATAAGAAAATTATTATATTTTGTCAACCAATAACTTTCGGATGCAAAAATCATAAACAAATACCACTTTACTGATAAAAGTTGATTGCCGAGACACAAAACCTATGATGCCCACTGAAATGCGCTTAATTCAAATAATTTTAAAGGCTTTGGCTAAATTACTTATCCGATCTCCATTCCGTTTTTAAGCCATCTCTTATCGAAAAAATATTCTCTAGAATTAACATGCTCGTAAAAACCAAATTTTTTGAAATTTTCTGAAAAATATTATCTATTCGTATTTTATATTAAAATTATTTCATCATGGCGGAGCAATATTTTCCAATTTAAATGGCGGTTTCAGTTATAAAACAATGTACTCTTGCAAACAACTGCTAAAAAGTTTAATTGCTTTAAAAAGTGTTTTCAACTATTTGTTACAACTAATAAGCCATATGACTGCATTTTTCAAGGCAATCATAAAACCAATTGGAATTTTGTGCGAGCATTTAAAAACAACTTTGCAGTATTTTCATCAAAAG